TCTGCTCTGCTCTGCTCTGCTCTGCTCTGCTCTGCTCTGCTCTGCTCTGCTCTCCTTCCACTTTACTTTCAAATACCTACTCTTCTTTCCAACTATAGAAAGAGCTAGAAAGCGCAATTAAATTCGGAAGAATTGAGCAACAAGGATATAGAATAACGCTGAACTACGTAAAGCCCAATGCTTTCGCAACAGCAAGTCGCAATACGTTGACCTTTAAAAGCGTAGGCAATCCAAGCATAGTACAATACAATCAGTGCCGGAATCAGTTTCACAAGACGCTATCATTTACAGTAGTTACGTACATAACTGCACGAAACTCCTTAGTTTTTATAGTCTCCATAAAATACTTGAACGGACACATTCAATTACTACTATGATAATCTTCTAAGTTGATTGCAAAAGAAGATTTAACTTCTAATCCTAGTATAAAAGGCTAAATTCGTCATTTTAAGGATGTTTTATTTTCGGATGAGTAGGTCAGTGTAGAGTTGCATGTAGTAAGTGAGCTATTCGATACGGTAACTTAATGCAATATTGACTCAGTTAGGCATTGCTCTAGCATTCCACTTGAACGTATTTCTTCCGGTTAGTGTCGATAACCCTTTTCAATTGGTCGAAGTTCCGGGTCTTCAAGTAACTCGATGAGAACACAAAAAGATTCGAGCGAGCAGAGCCCTCAGATCTAAACCGATTGACGTTATGAAACAAAGCACTTTAGCCCAAACAAAACATCACAAACCTGACACATTGTTATTACAACTTCATCCTTGTGTAAAATTTACATCTACGGGGTCGAACACTGGAACTATAGCCCCAGTATCCTACTCTCTATAACAATATTAGGGTTACAGAAGTTTAGTCTGAACGCATTCGAGAAGTCGATATCGAGGCAGCCCGACAGCAAGTGTGTTGGCAAACTTGATTAAACTTAGTCAATACAAAAACACATATAGGATTAAGTAAGAACTGAATAAGTTCTTTAAGGTGCACAAATGATATGTCAGTTCGGCAGTGTTTGACCACGAAATGCGATTAAGTACTAGCTTTCCGGTTAAGTCTGCTGTTCAAGCAAAACAATTACTTGGCTAATTGTTTTTTCTATCAACTTCCTCGCAGCAGGTACCATGTTCTTGACGCTCATCCAGTGAGACACACCTAGATGTTCCACACAGTCAACAAAATCCATAAAAGGTTGCCCGAATTTGGAAAAATCACAAAGGATTTACGGCTTTACGTTTATAATTTAACCAAATGACCCAAGGCTTAGGAATAAAAGTATGTAGTTTCTTGTGTACTTTGCGAGAGCTAAACGTCAAACGCGGATTTTACCTACACTGGTAACTCTCAACACGGACTTAAATATTTAACTAATTTATCACCTCTGGACTGCTGTAATTATCGTTCTAATCAACTTTTAGGCGACCTTATGGGAAGTATTTTGTTATTCAAATTCGATGGACTACTCTGTCGCAAGACAAATATAGTTTGCCCTCCAGTTCGATAACTTTTCATTCTTTAGTGGAACAAGTTGAGGCAAAATCCAATTGATAAGTCTTCGGGATCAGAGGTCACGTTCTAATCTATATTCGGTCATTATTTTTCTCTCGTTCCAAAATACCAACTTGCATAGTGTTTGTCATTCGAAGCCTGGTTGGTTTATTTATTCCGGAGGAGCTTGTGACAAGTCGTGAAGAATATCTGTTATTTTTCATTGGCACTTTGTTTGAGAATCAGGATCCTGCTTCGTAATTGTATAATTAATGATTGTTATCAAAGTGAGAGAGGAGTAGAAAGCCAATCACGGGCCAAGAAGAGTAACAACAACAGAGGCGCTAAAAAGTGTTTGTTGTGCATACATCTGAGCATACACTCGCTACTTGACGCCGGTTTTGAAACAACCAGAATCATTCCTGACCTGAACTCGCACGAGTAACAACAACATCGTCATCAGTGCAAAGAATAATCCCGGCAGAAGCTGAGTTGGTAATTTTGTAAAGAATTCCTAGCAGCATGGATGCGCAAGTACCTGATGTTCTATTTGGTGGAGTTATTGATTCTGATGAGGACATTGCTTTGGACTCTCCGAGTGTATTTGGAGATGACCCATTTAACTATGACATTATGGGACCTTCTTGTCCCGCTGATGTGTATATAGAGTACCTCTTTTCGAAAGGGCTAGCGGATTCCATCCGTGAGACCCCTCTCATCAGCGAGGAACAGGACGAGACAATAGAGCTAAGGAACTACCTTATTTCATCTGCCTTTAATTCATACTATAGCAATACCATGGAATTTGAGAAGACCAACAAGGACAACTTAGTTATATCAGCATCAGGTCTTCTTGGACTGGATGATTCAAGTGATGGGTGCTCGGTTAGTGACTCCAGTAGTGATGTTATGGAAAAATTAGACTCGGCTGACTCTCTGTATGGATGTGATGTGCACCTTACAGTACTAGATAGATCTCCGTCTTCTACCTGTAACAGTATCCCTGGCAGTACATCGCGTAAACAAGTCGAGAACTCTGTAAGCAACCGGGTAGAAAAGCCGGGTCGCAGGCGCGCATCAACTCGCGAGTACAAGTGTCACTACATTGGATGCACCAAGGTCTATACAAAGAGCTCGCATTTGAAGGCGCACATACGACGACATACCGGAGAAAAACCCTTCGTGTGCACTTGGAAAGGCTGTAACTGGCGATTCTCGAGATCTGACGAACTTGCGCGCCACAAACGCTCGCACAGCGGAATTAAACCATTTATTTGTGACATCTGCGACAAGAGATTCTCCCGCTCCGACCACCTCGCAAAACATCGCAAGACTCATTACCGCGTTCGAAAGAACTCCACCAGCTTCAATGTGGTATAAACTATAAATGTATGTGTACATATACCAGTATATATTTAGAATTCAGATATTTTATACGAAAGAATTTATGGATATACAGAATTATAACAGTGTATAAATAGTTTTTCATATTATTTTTATAAATTGTAGGATATGTATTTTTTTGTCAATATATAACGAAATAATATTTTCACTCATCTAAGAAAACATTGGGTTCGTATGAATTTTTCACATGTTTTGAGAATGGAATTGAATCACGAGAAATATCTCGTGGTTTTCGCAAACTATAATATTTGTCAAACTGCTGTGCAGTGTATATATTTTTATATAATTATCTAGCGTATTGTCATCTCTAACGAGATAGTTATTGCTAGTTTCGAGCTACGACGGAAATGTCACATCGTAAGGCGAGTGTAAGTATAGACACAGCCATAAAGTTCAAGGATATCTTGAACGTCCAAAATGACTCAGACGATAGGAATCTTTAAATTTTTTCCAGAAATGTTAACGAATTGAATATAGAGTTTCCAAACTCGCAACGTATCTTAAGGGTTGATTGTAACAAAATAAGTTCGTAGATCAGAAATAGAAAATAGAAATTGTTCAATAAAACCCTCGATTCATTCATTTATTCGTCCATTCATTTGTTTGTGATATGACATCTGATAGGGGTCAATAGAGCTTTCAACATAGGCTCTCTTTCGAAAGGCCACACACCAGAATCGCGCCCGAACAGAACTACCTCCAAACAACCTCGCACTATTAAAGAGCACCTCGTGATGAACTTCATGTCTCTTGGCTAAAGATTTACCCGGAAATTCTTTTAGGCACCTAAAAAACTAGATTAGTTGCTGCTTTTGACACATCGTTTGTCATTTTCCAACTGTGAGCGAAAATGAAATGAACACGTGCCCGTATAGCTTAAGGGTACAAAGATCAATGACACAGCAGCGTTCACAAGCAGGCCTTGTGATCTTAGTTACAAGATAAACTGCCCGGCAAAGATTATGCAAGAACCTCCTTGACATTATTGATGTTTAGAAAGAAATTGTTAAGAGCTGAGATTGCGACGCTGAGGCGAGTCACGATCTTTAGGCAAATTTGCGCAACATGTTGTGAAGTTTTGCACGCGCAAAACAGATGCCGCGCTTGGCATCGGACGGCCAAAGCAAGATGGAAAGAACTGAGACTGAGGTGCGCAATATGAAATTCCCCTTAAATATATTTGCTTCTTTGTTTAATATTTTCTTAAAAGTCAAGTGAATCAGTGTGATCGGAAATGGGGAATTCAATGATTCAAGTGACCAGAAGTATTATAAAGAGAAAAGTTTTCAATTGAAGTGGGGGACGTCCTTCAGGCAATCAACCATCCATAATAGAAAAGCGCAAGCGTCAAGGCTAGTGTTTCCCGCAAGCATGATTTTTTTCTCGGTATTAAATTGAGGGGGGGGGGGGGGGGGGGGGGAGAACAACTGGGAGAGAAAGAGGAGAGATTCTGCTCAAAGAAAAATACAAACACGGCTTAAGCGGAGTGTTACAATCTCATTCCCTATACATCTAAGAGTATTAAACTTCTCCCTCGCGGCTGTAGTATGATAAGTATAATATTAAAGGTACACAAAACCGCAATGCAGTGACTGGGATTCCTGTGTTTTCCCAAGTGCGTGCCATAACATAATCGTCTAAAATACCGCGTCATACCAAACAAAGACCTGAACGGGCAGGTAGAGACAGCTTTTATTTGTGCTTTTCGTCTTTTTACCTCTCACAGCACGACAATAAGTACTAATAGCTCATCGCGTCTCCGCCGCGATAGTTAAAGCTTTCATCGTCTAATCCAGCTTTTTCCAGTGAAGTCATAATTTTGGCCGAATGAGAATCACGAGTAGCGCAGATATAACTCATCTCTATATTAGGAACTTCGTGACTTCCTTATTACGTTACTCGCTGAACTATTCGCATTATCATCTGCAACAATCAGTCACTTTGGATTTCCGTAACAATGTGATTTATTTACTTAACACACAACTAAGAGCTAAAGAAAACAACACGAGAGAATTGTTACATGAAGGCGGTTCTTCGTTGCGAACTGAACCACAACAGTAAACTCCTACTACCCTACTTCCAGCAAAGAGGAATACTACTTTGAACGGGTAAACTAGAATAAAGTAATAGTGACTAGACTTCCGAGGGGTTTTAATTGAACCGTCGAAAGGATATACGACGCGCGTCTAGTACAAAAGTACTAAGGTCATCGACCTTTGGTTTAAAAATTAAGAATGGTTTTGGCAAGGCGGTTCATAATGTTGGCGAGATTAGTGGAGTATTTGATGCTGTTGGAGTCTTTATTTTTTCCTTATTTACTCTGATCTCTCTTCCCACGCAATGCACGCATAACATTATCAAACAGGAAGCTGGACGTTTTTACTGTATAAGGTAAAGGACGTAAGATTACGAAGGAGTTTATTCAGTTTGCCGGGCAGTTTGCTGGCTTAACGTGAATAGGCCTTTCAAAGTGATTGGTCACATGACTTTTACCATGAACTAGCAAAAACCTATTGGCTGCTAAAACTGATCTTCGCTTAATCTACAACTCAAGCACGCCGAACACCTTGAATAATGCAATAATTTATTGTATTCTTTTGTTTTTTTTGTATAGCATAAATATAGACTCATTTTCATTGCACTTGCACTTACACTTGTACTTGCACTACCGAAGATGGCAATTATATTGCTGAAACATGTATTTAATTCAAACTGTTCAATTCCAACTGTTACGACCCAAGTGGCAAATAAATTTCACTGTTTTGGAACGATTTTTTGTCAGGTGAATTTTTGGAAAGGCAATATTTTCCTTTGTAACATATGCTTTCGATCTCAAGGTGTTTTTGCCACCCTACAGCGCCTCCTTAATACCCCGGGGTGAATTCATCATTATTGCGGCGATATATCAGCACGTGACTGCAAGTGCGACATAGTCATTTTTTCATTGACTGGATATATGTTTTGACTTTTCTTGCATTGTGATTGGCTAATTACAAAACCCTTTCGAAAGCCGCGGTTAATTCAGCTATGGCCGTTACTATAGTTACATGATGACACACAGGTAGCCCAATATATTTACACTAAGACGAGAAATATCGAGCACAAATAACTAAAGATATAAGTTATTTTTCCTGATTTTAGGAACCCATTTTTGGTTTATAAACAGTATATCGAGTAAGCTCATCTTGTAATCGCGGGAATTACTCGGGAAAAGATCGTTGGAATTACTCGGGAAAAGATCGTGGGAATTACTCGGGAAAACCCAAAAAGACAAAGTGCTACACTAAGTTCGATGCCTCTTAAAGTCTTTTACTGTCCCGTTTTCACCGTGGAAGAATCTAAATCAAAATATCGAAGCCGACCTCGCGGGATTACAAGTGCTAAAAATGAGGAACTTTATAGTTTTTCTTCTTCCCTCTGGACAACATTAACTGACACACTGAACCGGAAACTACAGTGAAATCCGTTGCGCTGTGTGAGGCAAGTCAGAAGCTCTGTTGACGAGCATATAATGGCTTATGACCCTAGTGTGCGGCAATCCTGACCTGGAGGCTACCTGTGTAATGTAAGTTGATCATTTACCTTATGACCCCCTTATCTATCGGATGGTAAAATAAAACGAAAAATTCGGTTAACTTCTACTAATTTTTTTTTTTTTTTTTGGCTGGGTTATAGTTTGTTCCATGGAGTATCTTGACAAGACTTGACAAGAGGAAAATAGAAATGTAGTCAGTGCAATCCTTTTTTAACTTTGAGTCTGAGGATCGAAATATAAGTTCTAGGCGATATACCTTTTACACAAAGCACAGAAAAACTTGAAAAAAATTCCAGGAAAAGACGAGAAAAAAATTAATCGATGAATCATAAAAAACCACCAAATTGAGAAAACCCTGGCGCTAGGAATTTCCGAAAAAAAATACAAAGATCGTACGTGATGCGATTTTAAGCGCAGAAAAAACTGGCAAAACTTCCAGGAAAAACAATGATAACAGAAGGAATTCGTTCATTCGTTCAAGGAGACGCGGCCAAGAATCGGTATAACCCTGATGTATTCATGCCAAAACAAGTTCTTAACAATCAAGATGTGAACTTCATATGACGCTAATCCAATCAATATAAATAGATTTATTCAAGAGATCGTAGGGAAATAAAAAACCCTTGCCATGTGTGGTGGTTGTGTGCGAAAGATAATACAGTAAATTTGGCATGGGTTTCAACCTGCCATAAAATACAAAAAAAAAAAAAAAAAAAAAAAAAAAAAAAAAGAGAGAGAGAAAGTGAAAAACAAAACTTAAATTACTATATATGTAAATAGAGTTACGTTGTAAAACAGAGTCATTGTTCTCACTTGAAAGTACATAAAATAAAATATTGAAAATACTTAAAAAAACGGCAGATAATGCAGTGACAATCCTTCTTTAAGAACATACTGATAATGATAATGATAAGATAGAGGATATTACATGGGNAAAAAAAAAAAAAAAAAAAAAAAAAAAAAAAAAAAAAGGAAGAAAAACGAAATACGATCATAACTTGCTCAAAATAGCTTTGACCCGGTAACCAAATTCGTCGCAAATCGAACCAAGATTCAATTGTTAGTCTGACATTATTATCTATTTATCCGTTTCTATAAACATTCTTAACCAGATTACATCTACGCAAGTACAAACAAGTACAAAGAATTGAAAGCTTTTTTACCGTTAGAGACATTAAAATGTATTTATTTTTGACTGGAAAAACTGCCACACTCTATCAACAACTATTTCACGGCGCAGACGGAAACTACGACGACTAACTTATTTTGCGCATCCAAAATCAAAGATGCGTTTCTAAAAACAAAATCCAAAACGAGCGTCCTGTAGAGGGAACGATAAACGAAATGTTGAAACGAAGTTTTTTCGTTCTTCAGAACTAAACTGGGTTTCCCACGACGACATTTTGGTTTTATTTGCGTCGGAACTCATACTGCGCTGCCTACGAGTAAGCGGAAGCGAATATTGGGATAATAATCCCCGCAGAGATCGCTAAAGTAAAAACAATATGTGCGTAAATGAAAAAGTAGAAGAGTTACGAACTCTATCGATTAAGCGACCTTCGCCTGGTTTTTTCGTTTTGAGTTAGTTCCTTTAAAAAAACAGCGAAAATCGAAGCGTAATTGTGGAGCACACTTAATTCAAAAAAACTGTTATAAGATAACGATATACAAACATTATGATGACAGATAGCGAGTGACATAAACAATATTCAACCTGTACAGAAACAATATCTCTCGATTAAAAATGCCATAAACGGATTTGAAATCGCCACTTTTACATTTTATTCCGTCAAATCAATACACAGGAAAAATTTTTTGCATTTTATTTTTAAGTAGTCCTTATTGAGTAAAAGTGGTGGAATTGTACGTTATTATTCACTGCTATAAAAAAGTACTGTACAATTACTTTCCATTTGTGTAATATGAGCAGAAGGCAATAGTCCGACTAGGAAATGCACTGCGCGAAACCTGTCTTGCAATCCTGTTTACTGCGCAACTTGTGCATGCACCCGAATTTCCCGGCAGCAAACGTTTCAACGCCGCTTAACAGGGATTTAGGGAGAGAATCTACGTCTTCTCTACCCGGTTGACGAGGTCAATGCATCTAGAAGCAATGCGGAATCCTTTGTTCCTTCTGGAAATGAGAGTGAATAGTTATCCTCGGTAACCCAGGGGTAAACATCTGTCGCTCGTTTCGCGCTACCAGAAAAGTAAGCGACAGATCCTTACCCATGGGTTACCGAGGATGATGAAGAGTGTGCTTCATATTAAGAGAACAACAAAACGAGAATTCCTCATGAAGGCGGATTATTCCTCGAGCACATCTCGACGCGCTTTTACACAAAATTAAGAATAGAATAAAATTATCGTTATTTTCTTTGAACGTAACGTGTCGAAGAGCACGAGCACCTAGTGAGAAGGGAGGCAGGATACCTTAGGCTATGTCTAATTCTACGTTGAAGAAAAGTCCGATGGAGTAAATCCGCATGTACACCACCTTCAACTGAGATGACGTAGGTGTCTTTCGTTAAACAACAGCTGGTCTACAGACGTGTAACTGAAGTAACTTGCAACAAATACTACACGGGAAGGAAAGGATTTTGGTGGATATTGCAATTCATCTGTTGCAGGTTGAGCTCACAGTACCAGAGTATAGCCGGAGGGCTGGAGAACTGCGCAACATGATCTCAAGTTTTTGCCGTTTTTTTTGGGGGGTTTAATTTCAAACCTAAGTTCAAATTCCATGTGACTTTCACGTGCTAGATTATACCAACATGCTCCATGTCCCCCCCCCC